TCACAAGGGGAGACTGAAAAAACTTGCTTTGTTTATTTACTATAAAATGTTGGCAGTACAAACATATAGAAATATAAAACCAGCAGTACAAATCATACAAAAGAGCAGGAATTAAACCACTTAACAGTAAGTATTAACAATAAGTGCATCAAAAATATTAAAGGCCTCAAACCGCATCTCACTAACAGTGTTCAACCCTCAAAATGGAGGGCTTTTATTTCAAAGGTGATGAAGTCTAGATTGGTAACTCTATGGCATTATGCCCTACTGAGATCCTTCTCCCCCCCCCCCCCCCACAAATTTCCAGGAATTTTCCAACCTGAAGCTGGCAACTGTAGCTTGGGGAGAGGCCTGGGTAAAAGGTGGAAGTGCTTTTCCTTCAAGGAGGAGAGCTTCCATTGGCAGCAGCAGAGGGTTCCACAGGTGCTATGACGACAAGGAGTGGCCTGAGTTTCCTCTGTAATTCGGAGCAGAGTGAGGAGGTAGGCCTTTCAGTTAAAAAACCCCCACACATTTGTTAGTACCTCAGAAAGGTGAATTGAGGCAGAAGAAAGAGGAGAGGCTGTCCTATTTTTTAAACCATCACCTTGTGAAAAGCCCAACTGGAATGAAGGGGAAACTGATTTCTCCCCTATTCCCAACGTTGTGCTTAGTAAAATGGAGTCTGAGCAGGGGGAAACCTCTGTAGCATTTTAAACAGTGACTCTTCATGTATGGTTATGGTGATGAACCCTTTGTCTTGGGCTGTATTCAGGTGTCACTAAGGTGGCATTAAGTCTGGCTTGTAGCTGTGCACTTATGTGCATGCTATGTCCTACCCTCCTCATGTAGAGGACCCTGGTTAGAAAATGACCCCAGTTACCTGTGGTTTATGAATGCAGGCATCTGAGTTAACTAGGGTGAGCTTTCCAGAGGGAGAACAAACTCCAGTTAAACCACATTGTCTGCATTTGTACATTGTTAGTAACCGGAGTTAATTTTTAGCTGGGACTCACATGAAAGAGGAAGGCGTGTAGAGGGCAACAAGCTGGGTTCGTGCATGTCTTAGCTTAAAAGTGATGCCTGAATGCATCCATATTCTCTCCCATGCTTTGTGAGAGACCACTTCCAAAACTCACAAGTCGAAGATGCCACTGGAATAGTATTCCAAACACACAGTTTCTTGCTCTGTTCCTTCCTCTTATCACCTTGGTTAACTTTTGACCCAGAGCTCTGTAAGTCATTCGCTGAATGACCTACTTGTTCTTGCAGCCCCTTGGCATTCGCCTGCAGCCAGTGGCTTTGTGGCAACCTTTTCTTCCCCAGTCCTCCCTAGAAGCATGGTAGGGTGCCTGTCTTCAGAAGAACTTCTGACGCATGTTTGCCTTCTCTGGTTTTCCATACCTTCCTTTGCTTATTGAAGGTTTTAATTGAGGTCAGTCTGTATAAATGTCAAAAAGATCTCATACTGCTTTAACCACTAGGAGACTACTGTCCCAGATAATGCTGTGATCACGTCTTCCACTTAATAAGCCATCTTTCCCATCAGGTATCGATCCTGTTAAAGGTTGGGGGTGGATGGGCTTGTTTGTCTGGATTATAAGCAACGAGGTAGGGCTCTCTCTTTTATCTCTCAATTAGTGGCAGAGGTTGCTAGCAAGCGGTCTGCTCTTTGTGGATGGGTTTAGCTCCATCATACCGAAGACCAGACCAGACATCCCCAATCCTGTGGCTTGCTGTTTGGGATGGAGAGTCTGCGTTGGGGGTGGTGATGAGACAACAGCTGAAAGCGGTTGGGATGTGGAACAATGTGGGTTTCTGGCCTGGGGGTGCGGGGTCTGGTTCTTGCTGTGAGCTGAATAGGGATGGGTTTGAGTTAATAGCTTTCATTGGATTCTCGTGATACTGCGGGTTGAGTGTGAAACTTCTGGAAAGTTTTTGCACAACAAGAAATAGTGCACTCATACGGCAGCTACAGTTATTTTATGTTAGCCACTAGAAGCAACTGATGAAGCCCTGAAAGAGATTGCCCAACTGTGCCCTTTAAATCTCCAGTCAGATTTGAGTCCAGTAGCACCTTAGAGACCAACAAAATTTTTTGGGGGTATAAGCTTTGTCAAAGCTGCCTTTGCCAGACACTAGGAGGAATGGAGATCCTACTTGTGTCTGACGAAGGGAGCTTTCACTCTCCAAAGCTTACACCCCCAAAGTCTTGTTCATCTCTAAGGAGCTGCTGGACTTAAATCTTAACCGTTCTCAGAGGTCATTTCGGGGGGGATCGCGGGGGATCGCAGTTCCCCCGGGTGAGGTACGGGGGGCGGGGCACATGATGAAGCCCTGCCCCCTGCTTCCGGCCGCCCCTCTTTCGGCCCTCATTCAGCCAGGAGGAGGCAGGAGAAGAGGGAGGGTAAGTTGCTTCCTCCCTGCCTCTCTCCACCCCTGCCTGCCTGGGGCCAGGGAGGGCCTTCATGGGGCTTCCTTGCACTCCCGCCAGCCTTGCAGGTCCACCACTGGGCTCGGCAGTGGAGCTGCAAGGCTGGCGGTGGCGGCCGGGACCGTTGGGGGCGGGGTGTGTGGCCTTATGACACACTTCCGGTGACATCAGGAGGTGTGGCCTTATGACACACTTCCGGTGATGTCAGGGGGTGTGGCATATGCTAATGAGGTATGCTAATGAGTTCCCCTAGCTCTTTTTCTACGAAACGACCCCTGACTGTTCTACTGCAGACTAACATGGCAACCCTCTGAAACGATTTAAATCTTCAGTTATTCTGATACCACAGTGTTCCTTGGCAAACAGTTGATTGGGTTTAGGTGGACGCAGCCCATGCTGAATAATAATAACGGAGCCTTCTGTAGGATCTGATTCTCCTCCACCCCTTGAAAGCACATTATGCATAGTCTATACTTTGGAGCAGAAATGGTTTTGTCTTTGATTTTTCTGTGATTTTTTTTTCCTGTGGTTCAGTGGCCTCATAGTTTAGATGGTTCTTTACAGATTTTCTATTTGCATTTCACATTCTCAGGTTGTTGAGAAATTATTGTTGTAGCTGGTATCATCAGTGTGTATGGATAACCAATGTTCCCTCTAAGCCATGGAGTCTTGTGAGCAGAAATTCTACTTTGTGAGCTACTGGCATTAAAATTGTGAGCGAGTGATTTGGCTACTGCATAAATTAGTTTGCTCTGGAGCCATCCTTCCTGAGCTTAGACAAAAATCTGTGATCTGGAGGCCAAAAAACTGTGAGCTAACTCACACTAACTCAGCTTAGAGGAAACACTGTGGATAACCCCCTGATTTTCTACTGGAACCTTGGAGCAGGTCTTGACAGTAAAAGAAAGGTAAGAGTAGACTCAAACGACCTCACTGCCAATCTCAGCACTTTGAAAATGGAGACTCAGTACAATCCTAAACAGAGTTACAGTTTTCTAACCCGTTTGAGTTCAGTGCATGTAAAAGGCTGTAACTCTGCTTAGGTTTTCATGATTAGACATGCATTCATATAACATGACGTTTGTGGTACTGTGTCTTCTTACTGCATATGTTTTGAATTTATACCTTTTTAATGTGCGTCTGTGTAGCAATTAGCAGTGGCGCTTTTGAACAATAGGCTTGCAAAGTCTGGCTTTATGATTGATCCACACAAGCACAGTTGTTAGTCTGAAGCAGTAGAACAAATTTTGAGTCCAGTGGCACCTTGTTGTGGACCAGTGACACACCTTTAGTAATAATTTAGATTGTTATTGCTGTTTAGTCTTCGCATATGTCAAAACATTTTCATGAAGTTGTATGCTAATTTGCTGTTCACCTATGTAGAGGCATCTGCCTATATATATGAACTGTTCCATTTCAATATATCTGAGGAAGTGTGCATGCACACAGAAGTTTTTCAATGTATCTGAGGAAGTGTACATGCACACGGAAGCTCATACCTTGAATAAACTTTTGTTGGTCTTAAAGGTGCCACTGGACTAAAAAATTGGCTTTATGATTGTAGTCTTTGAAATACATGATCAGTTAGGAGCAAGTATTCCAATCTACTAGAAACGGAGAGAGTTCCTGAAGATGGCTATAACATCAGGTAGAAAGAGACAGCATTATACAAGCTTGAGGCCCTTGTATGCAACTTGCACCTGCAGGTTACTGTGCAGCTTTAGACTCTAGTTTGGCATCCAGAGAAATTAATCTTTAATTTTACCTCAAGTACACTTCTGGTACTCTTTCTTGTATAGAAAAGTTTGGAGACCTATCTATTGATGAGACCACTTTTTGCTGGGTTTTGTTTTTTTGTTTTGTATTTTTCATATGTGCGTGTGTGTACGTGCACACTTGGAAGTCATGGCAGCCTCTGATGACTGACCCCTGCTGGGGGCCTGGAGGATATTCAGAGAGGTGGCTGAATAAAGCCTGTCCCCACCTCCCGACTGCTGGCATTCCTTGGAGGTCTCCCATCCAAGTACTTGCCAGTGTTGACCCTGCTTAGCTTCCGAGATCGGGCTTGCCTGGGCTATCCAGGTCAGGGTGATGAGACCACTTGCTGTTAATCTGGGCTTTTGGTAGATGTTTCTAGGAAGGATTTGGTGTTCCATATCTCTTTCCCCAGCTCTCTCATGCTACTGTTCTCTGCCTGTAGCCTCCTCCTAAAATCCGGTCTTCATACCCTTTCTTTTCTTGTATTCCAGCACATCAGTGCTTGCATCCAAACCCACTTATTTAGAAAGTGGAATAGTTTATGCAAAGCAAAGGAGTATTCAAACGTAATTTGTATGACTGAGTGTAGAACTTTTGGGATTTTAACCCAGAGTTTTGATTTTTAAAAAAAAGCTTTTGGCACAAAGTATTGGGCTTAGCATGCCTGAACGAGACAAGGGGTAAACAGGTGATCAATACTGAGGCAGCACCAAGGTGGAGACATCGTTTGAAACATGGCAAGGTACAGGGGACTAAAGGTGCAGGTCCCAAATAGGACCGGGGCTTTAACAAGCTGTTTTCTCTCTCCTCCAGGTCTCTTGGAGACAGGATGGACGATCAGAAGCTGCCTGGTGAGGACAAAGACTCTGGCACGCCAGGTAGGTGCTTCCCAGATGGCTGCCCTAGACAGCTGCTTACAGTAGTGCAGTGCAGTAATGGGTGGGTGACAGCCTCTTGCAAAAAGTGTAGGGTGTTGGCCTGCCATCCATCAAATGCTACCCTACCTTCCGGACACATTTGTGACTGCAATACTGTATGTTTCTCCTCTTGGGTTCATGCGGGGCAGGAGGCCATCCGGACCACAGTATAGCCAAGCATGTGGGAGGTGGTACTCTGCAAGCAGGCGGCACGTGCTCCTCAGTTAAGCAGCACTCTGCCTTAGACCTCAAAGCAGAGAAGATCAAACCGAGAAGTAGGCTTACCAAGGTCCGGCGGGGGATTTGTATTTCTTGCCAGGAGCCTTGCCGCAGGGACGGCTGCACGTGCTGCACCCGCCGTCGCCAGGATGTGACGCTCCACGTCGCTCTGGCAACAGGACTCCAAACAGCCCCGTTGCCAGAGCAACGCGGAGCGTCACATCCTGGCGACAGTGGGTGCAGCGCGTGCAGCCGTCCCCGCGGCAAGGCTCCTGGCAAGAAATACAAATCCCCCGCCGGACCTTGGTAAGCCTACCGAGAAGGGTGTGCAACTGCCAAGGTGTGCAGAAAACAGGCTGACGCTGCTGGGTTACTCAAGAGCTGAGCATCTGCTTCCTGTACTGCTTTTAATGTATGACTCCTCTTTGGCTTCCACAAGGTGTCAGATTTTGTGCTCATATGAGGGTATCCAAGAATTCTTCTCTCCGCTTTCTACAGTGTAGCTTCCTAGAAGTAAATGGGCCCTTGTGGCCACTGGG